CACTTTGAAGATGATGTGATTGCGATTCTACGGAAAAAGAAGTAAACAGTTTCACATCATCAGCATACATTAAAATCTTACTGAATTTAATCACGGAGGGCAAATCATTGATGTAAAGATTAAATAAAATAGGTCCCAAGTGGCTACCTTGAGGTACGCCAGACGTCACGGGAAATTCATCCGAGGTAATGAGGTTAAACAAAACCCTGAATGATCTACCATATAGATAAGAGCTTAACCATTCAACTAAGAAGAGAGGAAAGCCAGAGGTCTGGATTTTAAATCTAAGAAGTCTATGATTAACCATATCAAACGCCTTGCTAAAATCAGTGTAAATGACATCAGTGCGAGAACCACTAGAAAAAGCCTTGAAAACATGAGAAGTAAACTCCAACAGATTGGTCACCGTAGATCTTCCCTTTCGAAAACCATGCTGGAAAGGAGAAATATACAATTTCATGGAAAAGGCTATATGCTGAGCCACAATTCGCTCGAACAGTTTAGGTAAGACACTCAACTTGGCGATGCCTCTGTAGTTCTCTACAAGTTGCCTACTACCACTTTTGTGAATAGGAATAAGGAAAGAAGTCTTCCAACACAAAGGGAAAACACCTAAATTCAAAGACTTATTAAAAATCTTTGAGATAACATCACAAAGCTCGCCAGCACAAGATATAAGTACACATGAGGGGATGCCATCGGGTCGAGGCGAACAATTATATTTCAGAGAGTTCAATCCTTCAAAAACGTCATTTTCCGATATAACAAAGTTAGGAATTGAAACCGAATTAGAAATCGAATATGGATAATTTTCCGATAAATCAAAATTGGCAGTTGAAAAGTTCTGTCGGAAGTATTTCGCAAAGAGATTTGAGGATTCAAAATCATCCGAGGACTCGGAGCCATTAAAAGACACAAACGACGGATTTATGGAGATTTTTCTTTTGGAATTAACGAAATTAAAAAAGTATTTAGGGTTAGCAAACAAGGAGTCTTTAACAAACTGAAGGTATCTGCAGTAGTATTGGCGGTTGAGGGAATTAAATTTATGCCTTGCAACAGAGTAAGCGAAATAGTCGAAAGAAGAACCACTTTTCGAAAATTTTTTGAACAACTTGTTTTTCCTATTCTTGTAGTATTTAATTGTCTTATTAAACCACGGGGGATCCTTACTTCGAGGACGGGACTGCTTGATCAGAACGGATGCAGAAATAGCTTGATTTAATACATTGTAGAACGACGACAGTAAGCTATCAATGCTTCCCTCTGAGAAATCGAGCACAAAATGAGAAAGATGAGATTTTAGTATGGAAACATTGATTTTATGGAAATCATAACGTTGATATGAAAAATTTGAATTTGGAACGTTATAGAGGTTCAACGAACCAACAGACTTGTAATGAAAGGAAACACCCAATGCTGGATGATATGGATCCTCAGGTAAACTAAACGGAAGACAACGATTAACGCAAAACTCAGGAAAATTTGCAAAGCAGAGATCAAGAAATCTCCCATTACAATTAGGGGTACCATTGTATTGAACTAAATTATTATCAAATAATTCATTGAAGAACACAACGGCTTTATCAGATGTTGAGGAAGGAATCAAACAGCCAGAACTATCACTGTAAAACCAATTGACTCGAGGCAAGTTGAAGTCACCCAACGCAAGGACTATATCGGTAGATTTAGATTGCTTGGCCACTTCACAAATGAGGGCGGCCTGTTTCTTATATACAGAGATATCCGAATTTGGGGGAATATAGGAGCAGGTCACATATAAGTGTTTGTTAGGAAATTTCACTCGAATGGCGATAAATTCAACATCGGGAGTAGTTGGAAATTCAAACGAATAGGTGGGGAGTGCCGTAGAAATAGCAATTAAAACACCACCACCATTACGATACAAACGATCGTTTCTGAAAACTTGAAACGAATTATGGAAAAGTTCCGACGAATGTAGAACTGGCTTCAGCCATGTTTCAGTGAAGACCAGACAGGAAAACTCCGTACTCACTGAATTTAGGAAGGTAGAACGAATTTTTGAGTTTAGGCCCCTAACATTTTGATAAATGAGAGAAAATGAGGCTGAAGAAGTATTTAGTTTTTTGAAGGGGAAAGAGCTAATGCATTCGCATTACGGGGTCGGTCCCGAGGGATAAATTCCTTAATTAATGATCCAACCGGCCACAAAGTTTTATTTAAAATCAAATCCATATTTTCGGTCGGAACTAGAATTTTAAAAGATGAGATAGCTCTAGCTTGAGAAGGACCCAGTTTGAAAATACTAACTCGCTTTAAATTGACAGAAGGGGCTTTCGCAGCCAGATAACCCCTTATGTTTTCAACAGATGTATCTGGTGCCAGTCTTGACACAAATATGGCCTTTCTAGGAGGAACTGCCTTCAAGCATATGTCATCAGTACTGGGAGCAGCAGGGTTAACGGATGGGGAGTTATGAGTTGGGGAAAATATGGAGGGGGTAACCACACTTGCACGAGGAAGGTCTGTGTGTGCGTGCGTGTGTGTGTGTGAACTAATCTGCTCGAAGCGGTTAAGCGCATACTCGTCGTTCCCCCATATATACACTGCTATCCGGACAATATGACACAATTTCTAATTAATAATAATAATAATAATATTTGTTAATGTGGGCAAAACCTGTAAAGAAAATTTGATAAATTTTAGTAGTATAAAGGAATACATAGCCAAAAAATAAATCAACTATATTCCTGTGACTGATCTTTGCGGTAAGCCGTATTTTAATTTAATAGTTCAATAGGTATTGCAGCGACACTGAGCAAGTTAACTAAGTTTCTTTGCTGTTAAGCATTCTACACATACATTGCAAATAACTTTTTTCCACTCTACGTGAAGGCTGCGTCGCCTATCTGCGAAGTTGTTGAAGCGTCTAAAACAACTGATGTTTTTATAGGATCGACGGATTTAAATTTACCACGTGTGTCACGAAGCTTTAATGTCCATTCAGGCTGTATAATAATGATTACATCGCTTGACGGAGCAAAACATTTCGTCACTCATATGTTTACAAGGTCAAGTCTTCACTGCTTACCAATTCTAAATGTTTTTACACTTTTGTTAACAATAAGCGCAAAGCCAGGCGCTTTCCTGCGTTGATGTCCTTTAATGGGTCCGATCCTTCTAATGGTGTGGAGATTTCGAATTTCTCCACGAATTTCTTTCAACTTAACTTTTTAGCCGAAATTTATGATGCCACCATAGCTTATCGGCACAGAGTAAAAGGCGCAATTATAATTTCGAGTATTACTCTTTTGATGATGAAGTTCTTCCTAAGACAAGTAAAGTATTTTAATTCATCAGACCTTGATAAGATATTGCGTTATCTATATTGAAGTCGTGTGCTGAGTTACTTTATGGTGTTCTTGCAATACTTTTTAACCCCGCTCTGAAACCAAGAGTTTTCTCTGCAATTTTGAAAAATAGTCTTCATAATCCATAAAAATGGAGTAAACAGTAGAAAACCATAGAGACGTTGCTAAATTGATTAAACTAATTTCTTGAGCGTATCGTTGCTTGACATTTTACTTTTGCAATAAGGTCCTACAGCTCTCCCGATAAGTACCTGCGTTTTATACATGGCAAATCAATCATCACGAACTTACCTGAACTTTCGAGTCGAATGTTTAAGGCTTTCTCCTGTGGATTTTAAACACATTTATACAGACTTCAGTAAGCCTTTTGGCAGAAATAACCATAGGTTTCTCGTCTACAAATTGTTGTCGCTGGGCTTAACTGCATATATTTTTAAATGAATAGGATTATATATCCTAAACAGAACGTCCTGAGGACTCTATAATTCCTTTCAACTGGTTCAATTTCCAGTTTTGTCTGACGTTCCTCAATGTAGTCACTTGGTTCCAATCTTATCTGTATTTTATCTGAACATGATTGAGTCATCCCACACGTTGATGTATGCGGATGATGTTAAAGTCCTCACCTCTTCAACATTTGATATAATTATATTAACGTTCAATCCTAGACTTAAGTAACGCGGCTAAATGGTGTTAAATTATCTTTTAAATGTAAAAAATTATCCCTTCTCGTGAAGAAGTTTGCTGAGAAAAGCATTGAGCATTGAACATATATAATGGAATATATATATGGCATTGGATAATAATCTTGTTAGTTTATTAAGTATTAACAAAACTCCGTCCGTACGTGGCTTTATTTAACGTTGGTAGCGTGAACTTGCAGATTCATACACCACAAAAACACTGCACATGACTTTGTTTAGACTTTGCATAGCATTGGAATACGCTTCCGTAATATGATCTCCGTCCTATCGTTAACAAGTCGGATCAATTAAATCCGTTCAAAAACAATTCTTACTGTTTGCGTTGAGAAATCTGCAGTGGGCCCTTCCTAATTGTCTATGAAGAATTTATCAGTGAGAACGTAGTCAATGTAGATCTAACTATCCATTGCTTAACTCATTTAGGGTTTTATGTAAAAATTTGAATGAGATTTACATTCAAATCGCACAAAGTTCACAAAAAGAAAAATTATTACAGCGCTCATACTTTAGCAAAGCAAGTAATTAATTAATTAACTAAAAGTTTTATAGCGAAGTCAAATAGTATATGATGTTAAAAAATAATATTTCAAGGGATGGTATGTTTGCGGCGACATTGCGATTAATCCACACGCTAATGTTGCTACTGACCATTTCAGGACTGTACGTGAACATGCGTTTATTTTTTCTTTTATTTTATACGTTTTATTCTACCAGCAACTGATATTTACTAATTTAATATATATCTTAAGTTCATAGATCCTACTTATTACTATTTTAAGAAATATTGCAATCTTCATGTTGCAATACAACTCGCTGTATTCAACTGAAATGTTAATTGTAGCTGAATTGAAGAATGAATGAAATAAATAAATAAATATAATCATGCAAAATTGAGTTTTTCGAGATTGCTATATAAACGATCACAAAAGTTTACTGTGCTTACTTGAGTTGCAGTAGTTTGCCTCGTAGAAAATCGTTTCAGAAAAGAATCTTCTCTTTTTAACGGTGGTTTCTTTTGCATAGCCGATGATATTTGTACTGTTGTTCGAAGCTTCATCCATCTTTGATTTGTTCTTCCCCTAATGGTGTTTTCGAAAGAAAAAAAAATATTTTAAATACAACTGCAACAGTAACTTTTGTAAAGAAGCGAAATTTTATATTCAGAATACATTGAATATTTTAAATACCGTAAATTAAAAATAGGAATATTACACGGGCTATTATGATTCATAATTTTTTTCAGAGTTGCTCAAAATTACTTTGGCATTGCCATTTCTAGTGGCAAGTGTTTACATTATCGTGTGGCCACTGAATTGCGATTTTTGCTGTTCATAATTTAACTTGGGCACATTTTTTATACTATATTTCAAAATTATTCCAACTTTGTGTGGTCATTTTACATAGATTTACCACCATGTTTAATTTTAAAAGTTTAAAAAGATAAAACGCAATGAAATGAAATTTCAAAATTTGAAAATAGATGTTCCCAGTTTATGCTTTCCTATAGGCGTGTTCTTTAACCATTTTGACTCAAGTGTTGTATCACATTTCAAATGGATGTAGAAAGATTTTGCGACCGGGACAATGTGTGCCTCAGATCTTTACATAAATAGCGACAGACAGACATGGCTAAATCGCTTCAAAATTTTCAAATGACTAGGTGAATGTCATAACGTGCCGGAAGCTGCCTTTTAGGGGTTGCAAACGTTTTGACAAAACGACTATAACCCCAACTTTCGGTGAAAAATGTCAGAATTCATGTTTTTTACAAGCAATTAAACGCAAATACATATATTTAGTATAAAATTCACGAAAGAAAAAGCAGCTGGAAAGGTTTGACTAGAACGATATCTCAAAATTACCAAAGGTAAAAGGTACTATAGTTCATCCCTATAGTGCTATTTTAAAAAACTTCAGTTCTCCATTCGCTAATGTCAATATTAATAAAGCGATTTCAGTTTTACCCAAATCCACATCCAAATTTTTGTTGCCTTTAATATAGTCTGCACTTGGTTTCGTGGCTATTATTTTCTATGCTTACTATCTTATTTTCGTATTCAGGAGTATATAGCATTACACGGTTCATCGCTTTTTATGCAAGGCCATTCTTGTTCAATATAAAAACTAGAGTATCTATTTTTGTATAATAATATATATATAATAAACCTCTCTCTACACGTTTCGGTACCGCTTTTGGTGATCAGCTGTCTTCCCCTTATTGTTGCTGTACTTCTCTTTTAATCTCTGCTTGTACGTGCACAAAAAAATTCTTCTCTTTCTTGAAAAAGAGCGCTAAAAATGTAAAAATATATATTTCAAAACTCTATTACTGGGATTCACCATTTAAAAATAATCACTCAAATATTCTATATATTTGAATATTAAATATGTAGGGCACACTTTCTCAAATATTTTTCTCCTTGTGCAAAAAAATTTTGCAATATCTTCTTTTTGCTTTATACGTTTTTAAACTAGTTCAAATTTATTAAAATATATTGAACTTTTTGTGTGTTTATTGCTAAAACTGATCATCGCGGATACCGTACGTGTTTCTATTAAATCCTAAAAAAAAAAGTTGAAAACATTTGACACAATCCTCCGTAGTTTCCCAAACCTTTTCAAGTGAGTGGTTATTTCACAAATAAGTAAGTAATAGACAACAATAAGGCATAATGGCCCCGGGGCCGCCTGATAAAAACTCAAATAGATTTCATCTATTAGCAGACGTATCCCCTCAAAGAAAAAAAATTAAAAATTCCGAATTTCCGGTGTTGCCAACCAGTAGCATCATTCCTATTGACAAAGACTATGTTGTGATTTCTCCAACTGATCCCTCCATAACAATTTCGCAATTCAGCCCTTTCGCTATTAAAAAAGCAATAGATTGCATTACAACGTATATAGACTCTATATCGATTTTACGTGATGGAAATTTACTTGTCCTGGCTGGGAAACCGAGCGCAACCGAAAAGCTCATAAAGTCTAAATCATTAGCCAATTTGTGCGCTATATACGGTAAACTGCATGACAAACTGAACTCGGTTAAAGGCGTAATTTATGCCCCATGCTTAAAGCATGTGCCGGAAGATGAAATTGTGCGCGAAATGGGCAGTCAAGGAATGACTGAAGTCTACAAATTTACCAAATTAAATGACAATGGAAAAACCCGCTCTCCTACAGGAAGAATTATTTTGACTTTTGACCGCTATCGGCTACCGACAACAGTTGATGTAGCTTGGTACAAATATAAAGTAGAACTCTACATTCCAAATCCCATGAGGTGTAAAAACTGCCAACGCCTGGGCCATATGGCAAAAAGATGCACCAGACCTCCATCCTGTGCTAACTGTGGTCTTCCTTCACATCCTGAAAACTGTACGCGTAGGTTCTGCTTAAATTGCAACGATCAGCACTCTGCGTTAGACAAACAATGCCCACGTTTTATACAAATGCGTGAAACTCTAAAAATCAAAACAGAAAACTATTGTAGCATGGGCGAAGCTCGACGCACATACCGGGAAAGAAATCCATCTGTAGCCCAAGGAATTGGAAAAACCAATACCTACGCTGCTGTTGCCTCTCAAATCGTGCCTAGTAAGCCTTTAACTCCAACTCCTTCTAATAAAAAACGTGTTCCACCATTAACCAAAAATTATATTGCGAAACCAGTTACATCACCCGCCAAAGATAATATTGAAAAAATCCAAGCAACTGGAAATATTGAAAAAATCAAAACAATAACACATATGCTAAAATCTAATATACCAAATTCTCCAGAATCTCCAGCTCTCAACTTTACTCAACATATCACAAGTGGTAATGAATCCATTCTTTCATCCATTAATCAACCTTCGAAAACCAAAGCAACACCAAATATTGAAAAAATTAAACAAACAACATATATGCTAAAAACTAATTTACTAAATTCTTCAGAATCTCCAGCTCTCAACTTTACTCAACAAATTACAAGTGGTAATGAATCCACTCTTTCATCCATTAATCAACCTTCAATTTCAAATTATTCACGTGCGCCCACTCGTTGCGCTTCAAATGTACCAAACCACCTAAGTACAGATTATTCAGCTGGTAAGAATAAATCATTCACGAAAAATTCCTATAGTGACCTTCTCGGCGGAGACGTTGACATGTCAACTTAACCTTAATTCCACTCTGCTTCCATGTCATTACAATTAAATAAACCTTTTAAAATTCTACAATGGAACATTAAGGGACTTATTAATAATTTTGATGAACTCCGTACACTCTCAAGTGATTTTAATCCAACCTTTTTATCGCTTCAAGAAACCCATTGTAGAAACTCTTTTAATGCTATTCCACCCAAATCATATACTGGATACTTCACGAAGACTGATCAAAATTCATATTTCAAACAAGGAGTTGGTGTTTTTATAAAATCAAATATATCTCACAAACGCATAAATTTTAGCTCAAACGTACAAGCCGTAGCGATACAAATAATATTAAACATAAAATTTACAGTGCTTTCGCTCTATATCCCACCTTGGCAATCGTTTTCTCAGCAAGAACTCTACAATTTATTCTCCGTATTTCCACATTCTCACATATTGATTTAACTTGTTGCTCTCCCTCACTTCTTCCTTTGGTTTCCTGGTCTATTTCTGATTATCTGCATAATAGCGATCACTTTCCAATCATAATCGATCTTAAACTTTCATCGTCCTCTGTTACTCCAGCAAAACAGGCCAAATTCCTCCTAGATAAAGCGGATTGGATCAACTACTCCAAACAGGTGGAGTCATTCTTGAATTCAAAGCCATTTAACGGGAACTGCAACCATGATGCTGCTATTTTGTCTAAAGCGATTCGCACGGCTGCTCATCTTTCTATTCCTCAATCCAACACCTCTTTTAAAGGAGCTAGGGTTCCTTGGTGGAACAACACGCTTTCGTTTTTGAGGAAAAATAAAATGAATCTATGGCACCGCTTTAAGAGATACCCTGATCAGGATCATTTGTTATTATACAAAAAGGCCAATGCTCTATTCAGGAAGGAACTACGAAAATCAAAGGCACTTAGTTTCGAACTTTTTTCGAGAGGAATTCACAGGAATACATCAATGAAAGTTGTCTAGAACAAAATCAACAGACTTAATGGGACTTCAAATCTGAACGAAATCTCTGCCATCTGCAATCCCTATGGAACTTTAACTGACGCATATGAGATTTCTAATTACTTTGGAAAAGTGTGGTGCGAATACTCCTCTGACAGCAACTTCTCCAGTGCTTTCATCGAAAATAAAAGGACTCAAATAATATCGATAGATGTGCCATGTTCCTGGAAAATTGCGTATCTACCTCAGAACTTGGAAGTTGTCTCTCCAATTTGAAGGGGAAGACACCTAGTCTACACCGCATCTCATACCAAATGATCAGCGCTATGTCTAAGTCTAGTAAAAAGAAATTACTGGACCTATATAATACGGTATTTATGACTGGCCATAGGGTATATACCCTACATGTGGAAAATGGCAACAGTTGTTCCAATTCCAAAGTCAAAAAATGTTTCCATCGCATCGGACTATCTCTCTTTTATCTTGCCTCTCAAAGGTATTGGAAAAGATTATGGCATCTAGATTATCTTAGTTTCTTGAGTCCAAGATACTGATAACAAAGCAACAAGTTGGTTTCAAACGGGGTAGAGGGTGCATCGACGCTCTGTTACATATTGATTATTTTACAAGCAAAGCAATTTCCGAACGAAACCATGTAACAATCTTTTCAATTGATTTCGAAAAAGCATTTGACAGAGTTGGTCTTTAATGTTATTTTAAGACTCTTGAAATCATGGAATGTTGGACCGAAATTCTTCAACTACATCAAATCATTCATGTCACATCGGCGGTTCAAAGTTAGAATCAACAATCATGTCTCTGATTCCTTTCCGCTTATGGATGGCATTCCGCAAGGATCTCCTCTTTCTGTCACGCTTTTTCAAATCGCCTTCAACGAAATTAGTAAAATTCTTTGTCGTGTACCAAGAGTGGAACATTGTCTCTACGCAGACGATGTATACATTTTTACAAAAGAAAAAGATAGCA